ATTATTGTCAAGATTATTTTCAATAATCTGATGTCTTTAAATGACATGTCTTTAAATCTGATGACTGGTGACTTCTGAAAATCTAACACAGAGGGCGCTCGTGAGTAGAAGAGCCATTTGTTTAATGAGATGTCCAAGCTTAAATTTTTAACCACCCAGTTTCAGGAACAGAGTGCTCCAGAGAATGGGTGGTTGGGCTGAGGTAAGAAGATGCATATGGTTTGAGTAGATGACTCTGGAACGTGCTTTCCACATGTCCAAGTAAGCTTCGGCTAGAGCCGCATCTTTGGAAATGTGGAACATCGGAGCTAGTGTCATTCCTGCCTTGAATTGGAATCAGGGTCCATGAGTTACTGAAATGATTTAGGAGTAGTTGCAGTTTGAGAACTTGAAAAGACATTGTCTAATACTGGAAAAGAAGGAAGAAAAAGAAAAAGAAAAAGAAAAAGAAGAAGAAGAAGAAGAAGAAGAAGAAGAAGAAGAAGAAGAAGAAGAAGAAGAAGAAGAAGAAGAGAAGAAGAAAGAAAGAAAGAAGAAGAAGAAGAAAGAAGGAAGGAAGGAAGGAAGGAAGGAAGGAAGGAAGGAAGGAAGGAAGGAAGGAAGGAAGGAAGGAAGGAAGGAAGGAAGGAAGGAAGGAAGGAAGGAAGGAAGGAAAAGACCATGTAAATAAAAAGAATTCCTTTTAAAATATATTTTTTTTAATTATTAAATGATTAGGTATAAACCAATCTTTGCTAAATTGCTAAACCTCTTGCCTCGATACAAATGTCCAAGGCTACAGATAACACTTCATTTCTTCACAAATCATTTGTTCTAAAAAGTGCTGTTTTTTCTGAGTCACTTAGCCTTGCCTACTGCTTTGCTTCTTATACAATGAGTAAAATAACTGACAGACTAAAGTGCAGTGCTGTGATATCCAATTGTGTTGACTGTGCGTGATTCTACATTTCTCTGATTCTCCTTCTAGCTCTACTGGCTGTGCAGCTGTAGCAATAAAAAGCGTGTTTTGCTGTTTAAGGAAAGTGACAAGTAGGATGCTGAGGCAGAAAGTAGTATTTTGTCATTTATCTGATTATAGTTTTGTACAAATTTGGAAAACAAGTTACTTTGCTGCTTCTGTATCACAGAACTCTATAATTCACATCTACAAGGCATTATCTCTATTGCTTTAAAATATATATTCTAAGGTTGTGTCCCTGCAATCCCTTTAAATAAACCTAAAAAGGGGCTTGTTTATTTAGTGTTCAACTAGTGTAAAACTCCTGTATCTAACCATATTGTTAACATCCACAGTCTGCTTTCAATTTACTTCACAAACCCATGAATTCTACACAAGTGCTTGTGGGTGGAAAGATGACTACTTAATACATGTTAATTTGTGTGCATGACATATAAATGGTTTCTAAAAAGACAGCTCTGTCCCCTACCCCTAAATACTGACAAAATTTCCAGAATGCCAGGAATGTCGTTACAGATGTGTAAATGCCATGAAACTGAGTGCAATTTTGCATCTTTAATGTGGTCCTTGTGTGTTTGGTACCAAAGTAAAGCAGTTTCCTGATACAGCTGTAATTGCTGTTTGATTACTAAATGTATTTCCTTAAACATAAGGATGTTTTGCCTTTTTTTTTTCTTCTTTTCTTAAATAACTAGAAACTTTGTGCTCTTTGGGTATGATGAAATCATAGCTTAATATCAGTGCTGAAAACCACATTTGGGGTTGGAACAAACAAAATCAGTACTGTTTTCTTCTGTGAAGCTGAACCTAGCATGCTCCCTCCACAAACTTCAGGTTCTGACAGACGGATTTCTACCCTGTGAAAGCAAGTCATAGCCCATGGGCAACAAATACATGCTGCCTGAAGACATCATGGGACAACTGTAAGAGGCCTTGTGCTGCCTTACCACTCATTTACTTCTACCAGCTCACGCACTTTGAGTGAGGCTGAAGCAGTTCATCTGGAGGTGACACTTCCCGCAGCTCTGTAGCTTGGGGCAGGGACACTTTTGCATGCTGGAAGAGGAGAGTGGGACACTCTCACAACAAATAAAAGCAGAAAATCTTCCTATTAGGAAGACTTCTGTCACCCTTAACAAAATATTCCTGGAAGTCTCTATTATGTTTTGCTCTCAGTAAACCAAGAAGGGAAAAAAATGAAGATAAATGATCACAAGACAGAAAATGAAAGGCCAGACCACAGATTTTGGTGGAACTCGAGAAGACCCAGTGTTTTATAGCCAGCAGTGTGTTGTCACTGCTGAGTCTGCTTTTGCTGACTTTATTTACCTGACTCGTAAAAGAAATCCCACATGATCTATAGCTTGAGCGAGGTGCCTGGGCTGCCTGCCCATCATGGTGAGGAAGTCAGGGATGAGTCACTTTTCTGAGGTGACTGCTGAAAGGCTGAAGAGACAGTGTTGTCTCAACTGCTGGCCTTCTTGGGGTTGTCATGCCCTGCTATGTTGTGACTCAAAGCCCTTCTTTTGGACATCGTGCTCATGGGGACTGTTTTATAAAAGAAGCAGGTGTCCTCACCTATTTTAAAACTTCCAGTTTTGCAATATCTTGAAGTAGCTGCAATATATATATTAATGGAATAAATAAGTTGTTATGCTATTCTAATTGTTTTCTAGACTGTCCTCAGGCCTACACCATCAGTCGCCTCCTGTGACCGTGGCCTAAGCACTTGCTTTCAGCTGGCCTGGAGTGGGGATGCAGTGTCACTTTGCAGGAAAAAAAAAAAAAAAGGCTGAAGATGGACTGGAGCAGTGAAAGAAGTGTGATTACACAGCCCAGTGGGTAGGACACTTACAGAGGAAAGGGGAGGCTAGGGTCAGGCAAGGCTCTAAGGACTGGTTGGGCATTTTACCTAATTAAAAATTAATGCTCAGCTGCACAGAGGATGCCTAGTTTTAGGAGGTTGGTTCAGTTTAGGAAACATGCCAAGCTTTTCAACCCTACTGTGACAGTTATTTCGAGCAGAAGTGGCATCTTAGGAGCCAAAGGGATTTTAGTGTCACCTTAGCAATGCTATCTCCTCAGAGGGCTAAAGAAGGATTTTGAAGATTGCAGCTTGGATTTAGGATCCTACATTTTAGCAGCACGTTTTGCAATATCTAAACCTTACAGGTCAGATACTAAATTTTCCAGAAACCATGAGCTGTTTGTGGGACACACTGAGAACTATTGCTTATGCTTGTTTGTGATACTGTTCCAAGAGTTGTCCTTTGGAAACTCACCTCAGTCTTAAAACTTTCCTCACCTTTGACTAAATAATACCTTTGTATACACACCTAAATGCTGGGGACTGGGACCTTTAACTGAAAGGTCAATGTGGCACATTTCTCCTCCAAGCCTGGCCACACAAAACAGGAAAAGAAACCACAAAGTTCTGTAGGTCAAGCTTTTATATATAGATGTGAAATATAAGGTAAAAACAAACAAACAAACAAATAAACAAAAACCTTCTGTGTTTTTCCAATACATGAAATGGTTGAAGATTTGCACAGCTTATTGTTATTATGATTTTTCTGTATCAAAGAATCCAGGGAAGACTATCACAGTGCAACCCCTCCTTTTGGAGCAGCACTGTTAAGACAGCATACATAAGGCAGCATCCTGCTTTGTTTTTCTTTCCTCCAGCAACTCTAATTATTTTATTTTTAATTTTGGTTGCCTCTCTAATGCTTACTGAGTAACTTTAAAATGAAATTGTAATAAAACACACTTAAAGCTGTAGGTAGTGCAAACAGTGAAATGATCTGCAAATTTTTGGACGCAAGTTTTTTACCAAACATTCCTAAATCAGTAATTGGTAGCAGTGGCCCAGCCATTTCTCAAAGCAGAGAACATTTCACAGGATTTATTTCTGCCAGAGGAATGTTAAACACTTCTCTCACCAATTGAGAAACCTTAGCCTTTAATGTTGACTCAAAGAGCTTAGTTGCTTATGAGAGCTTAGTTGACTACGGAGAAGGTAGAAAGTATTTTTTTCAGAATAATATGAAAATAGCTTTTAGACAAAGGAATACCGAAAGTGTTTATTGCCTGCAGGGTAATCCCACTTTTCATGATAGCCTAGAAAGTGGACATATAGCCTTAGAGGAAAAGGGTTTCTCGCTTTTGACACATCAAGAAGGGGGACCCTCATCCTGGGCATCAACAGCTACTGGTAGGACAGAGAAAATCTGAGTTTCACTTTGATGAGGAATCAGACAGGGAAACAAGATTTGTAAGAGAGTGTTAAACTGCCATCACCCCCTAACAATAGCCACAGCACTGGAAAATGCTGATTGTTAGTTACAGGATAAAACTGGTGAGCACTTGCAAAACATCAGGCTGAAGACGGGCAAAAAGCTGCGAATTTCCACAGCTGAAGCGAAACAACCTGGAAGTTGAGTTTTAGTGATAAAGCACTCCATACCGAAACCCATTTGGTTCAATCCTTACCAAACGCCACATGCCCTAAATTAGGAGCTGTGATAAAATATTGATAAGCCTGGTGGTTTTCATTGTAGCAGTCTTTGAGCACCCGCTTGCATGGCCCTTCCTACCCCACTCTGAGTAGCAACCTGAAACTCAAGGAATACCTGGAAAATCGTAAAGGAATAACATGTATCTTGGTTCTTTACTAATGATGGCAAATGAGCGCTCTGTAGGCCCATTAGCTGAAGAATTGAGGAAGGGCTGAAGTCTGATGGGCACCCCCCACTTGGTCAGCCACACAAAGCAGGTACACTGTTTACACCGGGTAATGCAAAAACATTTTGTGATTCCTCTGAGGATCTGTTTACAGCTCCTGCCGTTGTAGGAGGACTCGCGGGTAGCATTAGGACACACCAGCCTCACCCCTTATGTTATTCTATGTGTGTTTTCTATGTGTTTCTTCTCAGGACCCAGCATTATGTGGGTACACACAGAATTGGATCTGGAATCCCACAGCCAGCACCCTAGCAATAAGAACTTTTTATTTTTATTTAATTTAACCTTGTTGGGTTACGTTAGCTTTCCGATGAACTTTCTCCTGAAGGCTGGAAGCCGTGTGGGTGCCGGGCCACTTCAGAGGGCCACCATCCTTGGGCTGCTGGGGGCCAAGCCAGGCATCAGAGGCCGGACACCACGGTGAGGGGCTCCCGGCTTCAGCCCCGGTGGGAAAGTGAGAGCCGTCTGGAAAGGGGGAAAAATATATTAAAAAAAAGTTGCCAGCTCTCATTAAGATTTATTGTACGTCTGAACTTTTGTAGTCCCGACGCTTAACGACAGATGGTGGTGTAACTCCACCAATTTTGTAACGTCTCCCTTCACTTTGATGTTGTAATACAGATTCTCCTCGATTTGACTTCGGTTAAAACCAACATTTTCTGCTCCTTCCAAACCGTCTCGGGAGCCGTGCGCGGGGAGAAAGGGGAACAAACCTATTTAGAAGAGCAGCCTGTTTTCGCGGTCGCGTTATAAACAATCCTAATTGAAAATGGCAATCTGATAGACACCTAACGCTGCCAGCTGCACACAGAAAATACATTAAATTAATTAAAGGAAGACAGTTTCAAAGCGGTTTATTTGAAGCGAGAAATACAATACAACTGTGCAGATGAAATCTCGAACCGTAAACAGGAACAAATAAAACGCACCAGCCTTTTTCATTACAAAGCCAAGTTTTATTTTTTTTTTTTCCGCCGTAACCACCGCCGTAAAAATAAAAGAGTCGGCGAAGTGTTTGTTTGTTGAGCCCTCCTTTTGCGTGGCACTTGCGAGCCGCTCAGACCCGAGCAACGCCGACTAATTTAAGCAGCCAAGCGTCGTATTGTTCCCCGCGTATTATTACCCGCTAGGCAGAGAGGCTGTCAGCAGCGGCCGTGTGAACGAGGGGGGATTTTTACATCGCCTTGAAACAAAGCGGAGAGCTGCCGGGGGCTGCGGGGCTACCGCGGCTCGCTGGAGAGGAGGGAGCCCGGCTCGACGGCGGCGGCCCGGGACCGGGCAGGGCAGGGCAAAGCGAGGCAGGGCCGGGCAGAGCAGGGCACAATAGGGCATCCCGACCCGGGGCAGCCCGACCCGGGGCAGCCCCTGTGCCGCCGTGCACCTCCTTTCCCCTCCGGCCCTCCGCGGCCGCGGCGCGGGGGCGCCCGACGGAGCCGTCGGTGCCCGGCTGCGGGGCCGCGCCGCCGCCCGCGGGTTCCCCACCGCCAAGCGCTGTGTTCGCCGCCCCTTTCCTCCGGCCGCAGCTTTGGGACGCCCCTCGCGGCCGGTTCCGCGGGGAAACCCGCCCGGCTCCCCACGGGGAGAGCAAGGCGCCCGCCCGCCGCCTCCGGGAAGGGGGCGTCGGCTTTGGGGCCGCGCAACTTGCGCCTCCGCGGAGCCCCGATGCCGAGCCGGTTCATCCCACCGGCAAGCGGAGCCCGAGGGGGGCGATTTCGTTTGCAGGCGGCGGGGAGCGCGGCGGAGCGCCCCGCACGGGTCCCCCCCGCCCCGCACCGGCCCAGGGCCGCGGGGGCCGGCTGCCTGCGGCCACGCCGCTCCGCAGCCCCCAGCCCCTCGGGGGGCGCGGCCGGCGCCCCCCCGCAACCGTTGCGCTCGCAAAGTAGCGAGAAATAAAAGCGACCGGGGTTTAGCGGCAACGGGGCGGGCGAGGTGTGCGTGAGATAGGGCTGAGGGCGGTGGTGGGGGTAAGGGAGAGTGGGAAGCGGGAGGTGGGGGGGGGGAGACAAAAGAGTTGCAAGTAGCAAATAAATATATTTTACGACCACCCATCGGCAGCGCCGCGCCCCCGCGGCAGCCTGCCCCGGCGGTGAACTTTCACCTCCCGAACCCGAGCTCGCCCCATTGGCCGGCCCCGCCGCCGCCCCGCACGGGCCCCCCCGCAGCCGCCCCGGCCCCCTCCCGGCGGCGGGGCCGGGGCCGGGAGGGAGCCGGGGCGGCCCCGTTCGCGGGGGGCCCCTGCGGAGTTGCCGAAGTTGCGGCGGCTCCGCCCCCGCGGTAGCGGCCGTGCAGGAGCCCGGGGGTGCTGGGGGGGGGGGTGCAGTGCCCCCGGTGGGGCCGGCCGGGAGCGAGCAGCCGAAGCGAAGTTATTATAATTATTATCATTTTTTAATTCGTCCCGTGGTTAAGGCCGAGCGGCGGTGCACGCAGGAGAGCTTTTCGAATGCGAAAAGTGCCGGGTGGAGGTTAGGGCGCTGGGAGCGGGAGGATGCTTGAATTACACAGCGCAGCCCGCTTTGTTAATTTGCTGATGTACCTGCGGGGCGGCAGCGGGATTAAGTGCTCGGCATCGAGTGCCCGGCAATCGCGGGGGCCCGCAGCATTCCTCCCGCTGCTGGCCGCGCTGCCGGCCCGTGTGCTCCCCCAGCCCCGTCCTCGCTCAAAGCGTGGGGGCACCTCTGGGCTCCCGGGGGCGGCCGGTTCCCTCGGGGGGGGCTCTTGCACCTTGCCGCGGCCCGTCGGGAGGGGAGAGAAAGTTTCGCGAAGCGGAGGGGCGAGGATGCGGGGGGGATGCGGCTGCAACGGGGGGGACCCCGACCCGCATCCTCATCCCTCCTCCCCTCCAGGGCGCCTCCCACGCGGGTCCCTACCCCCGTGCTCGGCCCGCGGCACGTCGAGGGCTGCCAGCAGGCTGCAGCCACTCGGCACTGCCAGCACAACACCCGGCTTTGTTTTCTCCCCGTCTGCTAAACTCGTTGTGTCTAACGGAGCAAAAAAAGGGGGGGAGAGGAGGAGGAGGAGGGAGGGAGAGAGGGAGGGAGGGGGAAGAGGGGGCGGGGAGGGGAGAGCAAACAACTTCCCCGACGGTTTGTTTACACAGCAGGTGGACCCGACGGCGGAGGGCGGCTCGCAGCGACCGCGCCGCCGGGGCCCGGCCGGGGGAGGCGCGGAGCGGAGCGGGGCGCGGCGGCCGGGGCAGGGCAGGGCAGGGCAGGGCAGGGCAGGGCAGGCGCGTCCCGTCCCGTCCCGTCCCGTCCCGTCCCGCCGCACTTTTGGCTGTTGCCATCTCCCCCCCCACACCTCCTTTCCTCCCACCACCACCCCGCGCATTATTAGCACTCCTGTGCAGGCCACTTCGCGATCATGTGAGGGCTCCCTCTTCACTCCTCTTTTTCTCTCCGAAGGAGTCGGTGTGTGTGTGTGTGCAGCGGTTTTTTTTTTTTTTCCTCTCCCTTTTTTTTTTTTTTTTTTTTTTTTGCATTCCCAACAAAACACATACACACAGGCGGCACACTCCGCACACAGCCAGACCCCCGCACGCCGGGGGAGGGAGGGAGCGAGGCAGCGGCAGGCAGCGCCAGCCTGCGGGAGGGGCGCCAGGCACCGCACCCGCGGAGGGGCCCCCCCGGCCGCCCCCCCCCCCCCCGGCCCGCTCGGCCCGGCGGCGGCAGCGGCGGCTCCGCCCGCAGAGACTTTGCATGTGCGCGCCCGTGTGCGCGGCTCCGCTCGCCCTTTTTCTCTCGGTGTCAGCTCGTCGGGACGCCCTGCACGGTGTCTCCTCCCGGTAAGTGTTCCCCCCCCCACCCCCCGCCAACCCCCCGCACACACCCGTCCCCTCCTCCCCCCGCAATCCGGTGTGACTCGCTGCTTCCCCCCTCTCTCTCTCTCTCCCCCCCCCCCCCCCAAAGGCTCCGTTGCTCACTCACTTGCCGCGGGAAAGTTTGGCCGGTGACATGTGTCAGCTCCCCCGGCGCCCGGGGGCACCGCTCCCGAAAACGCACCGCATGCGGGGGGGCCGCTGAGCCGCGGGGGTGGGGGGGCCGCTGCCCCGGCCGGAGTTCGGGCTGCGCCGGAGTTTGGGCTGCGCCCGGGTCCCTTTCTCTGCACCCCCCCTCCGGTCCCAGCCTCACTTTCCCCAAATCTGCCGGGGCTGCGGGGCCGAGAACCGCCGCTGCCCCGCACCCTCGCCCCCCCGGCCGCCCCCCCGCGTAATTAAAACCAAACAACCTGTAGCCTTCCCGTGCGGGGCCAGAAGTGCAAGGCAGGGAGGGCTCGGGGCCGGGCTTCCCAGGGAGCGTTTCCAGGGGAGGCTCGGCCGTCCTCGCCTCGCTTCCCCGTTTGTGTTGTTTTTCTTTTTTCTTTTTTTTTCTCCCCCCCCCCTTTTTTTTTTTTTTTTTAAAGACCTCCCCAGCAGACAGCCGGGGTGAAGAAACGTGTCACGTTTCTCCTTTGTGTGCTGCCTGCCTGCCGGAGGGAGAAGCGAACAGCCTCCCCCCCCCACCCCTCCGCCTCCCTCCCGTCCTCCGAGCGCGGAGGGGAGGCCGGGGCCCCCCTCCCGGAGCCGGCCGCCCCCTCGGGGCTACCTCGGGGCGCCCCCGCTGGCTCGGGTGGGGAACCGCGGGGCCTCTTGCGCCTGCCGACGGCTTTCGCCCCTCTTCCCTTATACACCCCCTCCCCCCCCCCCAAAAAAAAAAAAAAGGCAAAAAAAAAAAAAAGCCTAAAACCAAGGATTAATAAATAATGCTGCTGGAGCTGCGGAGTTCCGCAGGCGGCCTCCGTGGCTGGTGCGTGGGGGCCTTGCCTTGAAATTGGCTCTTGAAATTCAAGAGGTCCGCGGGACCTGGAAAGTTTTGAAAGTTTAATTTTTTATTTCATTTATTTATTTATTTATTTATTCGGAGAAGGGAGACCGCGGCGGTGAGGCATGCCCTGAGGTGTTTGCTTTTCAAGTCGGGAGTGCCGGGGTAAGGACGAGGAGGGGAGGGAGAGGCGAGCGCCGTGCCTGCCCCGCCGCCTGCCTGCCCCGCAGCGCGCTCCTTGCGCGCCCCGCGGAGCGCTCGGCCTCTGCCCGCACAGCCGCTGCCACCCAGCTGCGCTTGCATGGCAAAGGTAAAGACAGCCCGCTAGGCGATTTCTCTTTTTCTTTTTCACCCCGCAGATGTCAGGTTCAGGAGGCTGCGGGCCCGTTTCGCAGCGCAGCCCCTGGCTGGGCACTGGTGAGGTCCCAGGATGGGGTTGCTGGCACGGGGTGCAGGTTGGGTTGTGTGCGGGCAGGGTCTGTTGGCAGGAGAGCGTTCATTCAGACCTCGCAAGAGCAGTCCGGAGAGAAGCGCTGCTGCTCTATTCTCAGGGGAAAAATAACCTCAAAAGTCCCTAAATTTATACTGTCATCATCTATATGTACATGGTGCAGAGCCGCAGATGGAAGCACACGCGGTAATCACTACCTGGGAATCGCTTCTATTTTTACAAAGCCTCATTTGTTTATATACTTTCTTAAAGAGAAAAAACACAGAAGATCCCCTTCCAAAGAGGATTTCCCCTGGTCTTTTCCCTGCATGAAAGCCCCTATCCAAAACTCCCTCGAGTCAGCAGGAAGCTTTCTGTTGACATCAGTGGGAATCACTCCGTTGACTCAATGCCCTTGGATCAGGCCCTTGGAAATTTCGTTACCAATGTGGGACTAGGAAGTTATGCGTTGTGTCTGTGCTCCCATGTTAATTTGTGGGGGGAAAAAAGAAGTCAGATAAAGTTTAAGAGATTTTGACACACTTTTTTTCCTGTGCTAGGTAATTTAAAACCATTAAGGAAAAACATTACTGCTAGTAATATTACTCTAAAGAAAATATGATTAATTATTAAATCCGCTTCTCTAATGCTGCACTAAACCCTTTCGAGTGAGATACAGATTTTAGTGTTCAAATTAGTATTTATTTTTAATTTAAGGCTTTCCCTGACTATAATAATTTGTTCGTATTTAGTATAGATATAGAAAAGATGCCTGTTTTGCACTTACTCACTGTTTTAATGTTAGCCTTTCAAAACAGTAGTGTTCTGTAGCATTGTTGTATACTTAAATCATTTGTTTAACTGTTTAGAATAGTAAATTACTAAATAGTTGAGGGAAAGGAAACAGTGTTTCAAACAGAGCATTCCCGAAATACATAAAGTAACCTTCATGCCAATTCATAGGTCACTTAGTGACATACAAAATGATGCATAATTAACTATTCTGATTTATTTTAATACCTAGGACCTGAAATAGGCTGCTTCATGTGCGGCCTTACTAGTGTAGGCTGTAAGATGTAACAGTAACGTTAACCTGCAAGCTTGAGCAGAATCAATTGTATAAATATTTGGGTATTTCTTTGTTTTTAGTTTAACCTTGGGGATTCTTAGGTTTTGTCACAAGACCTTTGTTTGAGTAAAGTGTTGGTAACATTTGTGAGAGGAGAAAAATTAAATGTTTTGTAGCTTTCTCCTTAGTGTAAATTTGTGTAAAATTACCAAAGGTTCTGTAAGGAGCAACCTAATTAGTGTTTACAGAGTGTGAGGAAGAGTAAAGCAAGTATGTTGAGCTCGGGATATTTTAATTAATCAATACATGTCACTATTTTTAAACCTCAGTAGGGTCTGTACCATAGCTAGGTGTTGAGTTATAGAGATTTTTGAAGTGACTGATTTTTTTTTTTTGTAATCATCTGTTGCTTAATACATTTTTAAGCTTTCTGTAATAGAATGCACCAAAACTATCATTTTAAGATTAAAGCTATATTTTCTCAGAAATGTTCTTGATGGACTTTAATGTATTTTAAAATATTACTATAGCATAGGCTTTTGTTTTCTGGACTGGTTTACATGAACTAGAATAAGCTTTTTATATTCTGAATATACCTGATTCAGCATTGCATGCACAGGAGTTATTCAAGGCTAGTGGGCTGAAAACAATAGAAAACTTCTGAGATCTGATCCGTGCTGTGGCAGTGTTTTGCTATGTGTCACTGAAAATGTCACTTAACCTCTTTGTTTTTCATCGTCAGAATGTGAGGACTGATATTTATCTTTCTGATAGTGTGATTAATTAATATTAATTCTGAGGGCCCTTTTCTTCCCTTTTTTTTTTTTTTTTTTTTGGCAGGTTTATTTTGGAGAAATTTAGTTCTGATAGTGGTTTAAAAAAGAATGGTTGGTGGGAGTCACCATGTTTTTTCTTTGTGAGTCAGATCATGAAGAGGTCACTTGCTTGTAGGGATTTAAAATGATTTAGGACATAGGTCACTGAGAAGTACTCATGGAGTGATTTTGACTGGAGAAAACTGCAAATAACCCTGAAACTCAAAAATGCTATCAACTGGGTTACAAAATACTAATTTTTGGTACAGTTCAAGTGATTACTCTTTTTAAACTTCGTGGCAGCTAGTGGGTCTGGAAGTAATGTGAATTATCTATTTTTTCACTGCCACTGTAGCATACCTCTCAACTAATCCTCATTAAAAGGAATGCTTGTCATTTAGATTCCCGTTCTCCATCCTATTTTGATCTGAAATCTTTCTTGATTGCAAATTAGTGGCACCAGAAAAACTGAGTAAAAAAAAGATGAAATTATAGAACAGGTTAGCTACAGTAAAGTAACCTCAGTATCATGTTCAGTGTTATTTGTTTGGAGGTTTGCTTCCACATTCGCTCTGTCAAAGAATGAAGATCCTTACCTTAGTGCAAGTGTTTCTAATGCTAGTTTTAAACTCAAATTTCAAAACTGCTAGATTGGCATAAAAACAAGGAACAGTCCCACAAGTATCATTTAACACTGATAATCTTTTCTTCTCCTTTTTGAGGCTCTCAGTAGTTTAATGACACTTACTGCCTTTTTAAACCTTCCAAGATATATACTTCAAAATATAAGAGGCATCTATATCCTTTGATGCAAGATTTGCATCTGTTTTGGCTTTTCTGCTTGCTATTTTTTTTAATTTCCATTTCTGCTATATTTGCATTTTAAGGGCAAGACAATGTTTTGTGTCAGGAAGCTGGATTTAAAAGTGCCAGCAATAGCTCGTCTGTGCTGTCATCAGTGAAGTAGCTGAAAATAATCTTTTTAATGAACAGTTGCTTCGACATTCACTGGTGCACCAAAGTGTAGTTTGGGGTGATGCTGGATAGAAAAGTTTGAGCTCCGAAGAGTGAGTTATGCATGGAATGGCATTTAATATCGTGTTTTCAGTTCCCATTCTAAGGCAAATTAAATTGAAATGTTAAGCACGTTGTATTATACTACCAACTATATTAAGCATTTTTAGTGAATTGTAAAGGTTGTTCAGAAGGGGGAACAAGAGCATTGTAGGCTTAACTTTTTATCCATTCACTTAGCTATTTCGTCTTCTTGCAAATAGTAATCACACGTCCTCCTCCTTACAGCTGCAGCTGGAAAGGGTTTCGCTGCAGTTGGTTTCACATTTAAATATGTGCGCTAGTCAGGCTTGCTGCTGCGGGCAGAGCTGAGCCCTTGGATGCTGTGAGCAGCACATGCGACGGGCCCGAAGTTTGGATGCTTGTCACCGACGGTGGCAGAAGGCTTTGCTGGGGCTGTAGATTATAGAGGTGACTTTCTGTCTGATGAGGCTGTGCGAGGGAACGGGCAGGTAGGTTGAAGTGATGGGCAGCAATTTCGTTCAGCAGGAGGGAGGGGTGTTTGCTTCCCCGTCACCCCACCCATGCCCTGTTGTGAGAGAAAAGTTTCTGGTCCACTGGTGGCCTCAGACCCTTTGCTCAGTGTGCCCTTGGACCTCTGCATGCCCCAGACCATGGCCGCAAATTGCATCAAATTAAGCATTTCGACAAATTGCTGAGTTCAGCCCCGTTTAAGCTAGTTTGCCTGCAGGATGTTGTGAGGAAGGCGCAACTGCAGCAGGCCCGTGCCAGCTCCGTTCCCCTGGGACGTAGCCTGTCCTCTCTGCTGTTGGGCCCCAAACTGGAAATGCGTTTGAAGAGTGACATTTTGAGGCTAGATGATATATCATTATATATAACTAGGAAGTTTTTTTTCTAAGCACATTGCTTCTTTGGGTAAGTATTTACATTTTTATGAAAAATTGCCTGTACCTCATAAGATTGATGTTTTGCTGAAGGAATATGCAGTCCTATTGAAAGTCACTTGTTTTTGCTCTCACAACGTGATGCATATTTTGCAACTTTGATCAGAATTTCTCAAAAATTTAAATACC